TTTTGGGTTTGAGGGTTTAGGGTGCTTAGGGCTTGGGGGGTTTGAGGGTTTTGAGAGTCTTGAGGGTGTAGGGCTTCCGGGCTTCAGGGCATTTGGGGTGTGGGGCCTGAGGGTTTTGAGGGGTTGGGGCTTAAGGGTTTGGGGGATTGAGGCCTGTAGGGTTTCCGGTTTGAGGGTTCTGGGGTTTAGTGTTTAAGTTCCAGGCCTCAGGTTCCTTTTAGGGTTTAGGGTTTAGGGTTTAGGGTTTAGGGTTTAGGGTTTAGGGTTTAGGGTTTAGGGTTTAGGGTTTAGGGTTTAGGGTTTAGGGTTTGCTTCATCGCTCAAGCCCGAAGTAGTAGCCCTAAATTCTAAAGCCCTTCATCCCTGACCCCTTGAAACCCCCCGGTCACAATGAGACAACAGCATGAAAACCTTTACTAGCCTACAGAAGCACTTAAGCCCCTGAACAGTAAAACCCTTCGCCCAACAACTTCAGGACATCTTCAAACCCTACATGAACACAAAGGTCCTGCCACATCTTGTAGTTGTTCTACAGGGCCCCCCCCCCCCATACACAGATGCACCCTTCTGGGGGTGCTTGGTGTGTAGAGCTTAGGGTTTGGGATTGAGGGCTCAGGAGTTTCAACCCTACACCCTAAACCCGAAACCCTAAACCCCAAACCCCAAACCCTAAACCCGAAACCCTAAACCCTAAACCCTGAAGCCAAAACCCCGTTTGCCTTACTCGTGCTCAAAGGGACTTTGGCAGCCACGAACTCGGGGGTGAACTCCAAAATCTTCTCCACGTCTTTGGCCTCCCATGGGCTGCAGGGCCCTCAGCCCTCATCCCTTAACCACGAAACCCTGAACCCTAAGTTTAGGGTTTAGGGTTTAGGGTTTAGGGTTTAGGGTTTAGGGTTTAGGGTTTAGGGTTTAGGGTTTAGGGTTTAGGGTTTAGGGTTTAGGGTTTAGGGTTTAGGGTTTAGGGTGTGTCAGGGGAGGGCGCGCTCAGGTGTGAAACACCCCGGGCCGCGTGCTCGCGTTGCCCGTCAACCCACCCCGGCCACCCAAACTATACTCTATTAGGGTTTAGGGTTTATGGACTTTTTCTTGTGCACCGATGCTTGCTTTTTTGAAGTTGGTGTTGGGGTTTAAGCTGGAGTCGAGGGTAGCCTCGGCCCTGTTCGGACCTTCGGCGTGTCAGGGCCTTGTTTTCGCCAATGAGCATTTCAATCGCTAGGGTTTAAGCTGGGGTTCGGGGTAGCCTCGGCCCTTTTCGGGCCTTCGGCACGCTAAGGCCCGTAGAGGCCCTTATTTGTTTGAAGGCCTTCGCAGGGTTTGCGGTGTTTGGGGTTTAAGATGAGGTTCGGGGTAGCCTCGGCCCTTTTCGGGCCTTCGGCACGTCAGGGCCCGTAGAGGCCCTTGCTGATTTGGGGGCTTCCTGGGGCTTTCCTGGGGGTGAAATGAATGGAGGGTGCCCAAAACCATCGATTTCAGCATTAAAAAATAACATTTTCATTGCGGGCAGGGGTGCCTAAAACCATCGTTTTCAATAGTGAACCAATAGCATTTTCTTGGGGCCCCCCTTCTTGCTTTTGAAGCCTTGCTCTTGGCGCCTCTTGGGGGTTTCCTGGGCTTTCCTGGCGCTTCTGGTGTAAACTCAAGTATCAAAAAAACATTTTTCATTGATGGTACGGATGGTACGGCCCCCTTGGCCCGGAGGCCCTTTGGTTGCGCGGCCGAGCAGCGCCCTTGGTCCGGCAGGCCTTTCGGGGGCAGGCCCTTGGCCTGACGGGGGCGGCCCTGAGGCCCTTGGCGGGATCTAGGCCCGGACCATTCTGGGCTGCGGAAAGGCAGCCCTCCCATGGCTCGGGCGTGCTTGGGCCTGGAGGCCCTTGGTCGGGGAGCCTTGGCCGGCCCTTGGCAAGGGGCCCTTGGTCCGGGAGTGCCCTTGCCCGGGACCCATTGAGTAACCGGCCTGCCAAGCCGCCAGGGTGATGAGGAGCTCCGCGAGGTGCACACACTCGCAAAATAATATTCGCGACCGTAAACCTCCACTCCTGTGTGGTACAGTCCCATGTTCACAAGCCACAGCAAGTTGTTCAACAAGCTGATGAAGCAGCAATCGTGTAAATCCTCGGTTCAGTGTTGAAGCACGCTTGCTTGAAACCGTTCACGACATGGCTTCTCTGTCTCAGTAACTTCTAAGATCTCCATCAACTAAGGCTCGTAGATATGAAGCATCACAGGCACCAGCGGATTCAGAGCCTCACGACTCGATTTCGTGGTCAACAAACACTACAAAAACACATCAAGAAGCAAACAAACTATATATGTATATACATATATATAAATAGAAATGCGTGCCTCGTCTGATGCCACAGCCATCGGTGAGGTTTCCTGCCAAGTACCATTTTGGAAGGGCTCTCAAGCACGCAAAGTCAGTGCAAAGGCCCACCTCAGGCATAGCGGCGGGCTCACATGTGCTGGGCTGAGGGTCCTTGCCAATCCACGAATAAGCAAGGGAATAGGGTTGGCCATTGCTATGTACCAAAAGCCTCACCACCAACAACTCTAATAGCAGTCATGCCATGAAAGGCTGAGGTTGTTGTTGGTCGTCGACGCAACAACAAGCAGCGGCCTAGGCAACGTCTTCAAGTGTCTCCGGGCACAGGTTTGAGCTCGGCCCAACTATGCCCCGTGCCATAAATCGAAGACAGGGCCTTAAGTATGCATTCAACCAATCGCTCTGGAACTTCATGAAGCTGGGCCGGGGCCTGCTCTGGAGTTGGACAAGCCTACGATCAGCAGCGCACTTCTTTTGGCGATGACAAGCGCTCACAAGGAACAGCCTGAGCTATCTCAGCAAAGTGCACCAGGAGTTGCCCAACCTGAAGCCAAGCAACGCTATGGTAGGTACACAACACCGTCTCCATCACACAGAAAGGCCCGCAAGTCTTTTGAAGAGCCTGGAAGCGCACGTCGTACAAGGCACCTTCAAGGTTCTTCCCCTTGGCAGGGACCCCACATACCACCAAACGGAGGTGAGACTGCAAAGCACCTGCCTGCAAAGCATGAGCGGAGCCAAGATAAAATGAGGTTAACGAAGTCGCACACACCGGCCTTGCAACTGGAGCTGATGCCTTTGTGCTTACGTCTAGGACAGAAGTCCCGTTTTGTCACCCTGCGTTCGATCTGAGGCTGCGTTTGCTTGCTGCAACCGCAGAAAACCAAGACCCCACCACCACTTACAGCCCTTTGGCAGGTATGTGATGGTATGTGGAACAAACTTCCTTCTCACAAAACTTCGGTGGGTGATAGAGTGGAGTAGGGGGCCCAGGATGGGAGCAGGTGGGCAGGGGCCGGGGGCGTGAACGGAGCATAAACGTAGCTTCGGGCTGGGGGAGGGGGGATAGGAGGTGGTAAGAGGAGAGGGGATAGGGGTGGGAGCCCGGAGGTGGAGGGAGGCGGAGGGGGCAGGATGGGAGTGGGAGGGATTGGGAGCGACTGAAGGCCGTAAGGCTTAGGCTTTGGGGGCTTAGAGCTGCTACGCGGAGGGCCCCACATCCTCACGTGCAAAAGGCGTGCGGCACTGACTGAGGTGGTCGACAGCTGCAGGAACAATACTAAGGCAAGCACACAGTTCACGATCAAACGCCATGGAAACAACAAATTATTTGCCGGCCTTTCCTCAAGATTACGATTGATATCTGTGCAAAATGCTTGATTTTGCCAGCAAATCAATTGGACACAATTGCTGACGCAAGTCTCCACATAGCCCAACTTGCTGCAAAGGCCTGCATACGCGACTGCGTGGACTTAGAAACTCAGTCCCAGCAATGATGAGCATAAGCATGGCAACACGCCAACGGAACGCAGCACTAACTACCAACTCCGAGCCAGATTGTGACAGAACACGGTTTCGACCACACAGTTTTGCATTGGCGCACGCTTGCCTCGGCGTGTGATCCTGAGCGTACATTGGCTCTGTAGTTCCCTATGTGGTCATGGCAGCACTACATCTTTTCAGCTGAACACCTGTGTACTTCTGCTTCACTGCCGCTGCTTGATTAAAACGGTCGCTGCTTCTCTGCTTGATCAGCAAGGTCGCTGCTTCACTGCTTCATCAGCACGGTCGCTGCACCACTGCTTGATCAGGAGGGTCGCCATCAAGGGGGGTCGGTGAAGTCATAGGGCAACGGGAGGGGGCTCCCGGCAGGGGGGGCCCAGCAAACCCTGAACCCAAAACCCTGAACCACGTCCAGAAGCAAAGCGGGTTATACTTTAGCTACGCTAAAGGTGGTCTGGGTGCCGGCCATCCCTTAGCCGAGTACTGACGTTGTCGTAAAAAAGGCCGATGTCCTTTGGCCTGTCCAGGACAGACGGTGAGGCTTAACCCTCACCTTTCCGTTTCTCTTTTCGCTTGGGCGCTCGGGCTGTAAGGCCCTCGGCCGAGCGTTCGGGGTCTGTCGCTCGACGGAAGCGACCCCTCACTTAGTTTAGGGTTAGGGTATCGGGTTTAGGGTTTAGGGCTTGGGGCTTAGGGTAAAAGAGTGTTGGTCTCTGCCGGCCTCCCAAATCCTTGAGTTTGGTGGCTTACCTCTCCGACGCGTCTTGCAGGCGCACGTTCCCAGACGATCCGCTGAGCCCATGCCCTAAACCCTAAACCATAAACCCTAAACCCCAAACCCTAAACCCTAAACCCTACACCCCTGATTACTTTGAGGGCCCCGTCTGCAGTTCCACATGCATCTCCCTGGGCCCACAGGAGACAGCCGGGTGAGGCCTCACGAGCCTCGAGCTTTAGGGTTTAGGGTTCAGGGTTCAGGGCTTAGGGCTTAGGGTTTAGGGTTCAGGGTTCAGGGTTTACGGTTTAGGGTTTAGGGTTCAGGGTTTAGGGTTCAGGGTTCAGGGTTCAGGGTTTAGGGTTTAGGGTTTAGGCTATACGGTAGGGGTTTCGCAGTGTCTGTGTGTCTGTGCCTTTGCACAAGTATAGGTCTACACCTCCCCTCCCCTCGCGCCTTCCCGGACAGGCCATAGGAGGGCATCAGGATCGAGAAGTGGGCATACTTGTCCTGGAGGTTTAGGGTTTAGGGTTTAGGGTTTAGGGTGTAGGGTTTAGGGTTTAGGGTTGAGGGTTGAGGGTTGAGGGTTGAGGGTTGAGGGTTGAGGGTTGAGGGTTGAGGGTTTAGGTTTAAGGGTTTAGGGTTTAGGGTTTAGGGTTTAGGGTTTAGGGTTTAGGGTTTAGGGTTTAGGGTTTAGGGTTCAGGGTTTACGGTTTAGGGTTTAGGGTTTAGGGTTTAGGGTTTAGGGTTTAGGGTTTAGGGTTTAGGGTTTAGGGTGTAGGGTGTACGGTTTACGGTTTACGGTTTAGGGTTCAGGGTTTCACGGCACAAACTCAGGAACGGCGCCTCAATCATCTTAGGCTCCCTCTTCATAACTTCAGGAATCCAGGATTGCCCATTATCTAGACCCTGAACCCTTTTTAGGGTGAAAGGCTTCCTGAACCCTAAACCCTAACCCTAAACCCGAAAACCCTAAACCTTCACCCGCTGGAGTCTTGCAGAGACAGGTCCGAAGACCCAAAAGGGCGGAACCGGAACCCACGTCGGATCTAGCGTTGACAGCGGAAAAGGGGTTTAGGTGCTTAGGTGTTTAGGGGATTGGGGTTTAGGGGTTTAGGGTTTGGGTTTTAGGGGTCTAGGCGTTTCAGGGGTTTGGGGTTGAGCCTTGAGGGCGTATAGGAGGTTTGATCACTACCAAGACGAGTCTTGCGTGAAAAGCCCTGACCAGTAATGCAGCAAGGCACGTGCCCAGTGTTCTTTGTGGCGGCCTGGGTCAGGTGCGAGGGGTGTTCAGTGTTCAGCCCTGAACACACAACCCTAAACCCGATTGAGACATGCAGCTTTGGGTCTGGGTTTAGGTTTAGGGTTCAGGGTTTGGGGCCGCTTAGGGCTTAGGTTTTAGGGTTTACACTAGGGCTGAATGACCTACACTTACACGTAGGACGTGGCTCCGGGCCCCACTTTCGGCATTTTTCCGAGAGACCCCACTAAAATGAGAGTACACTGAGGGCTGAGTTCTGCTTTAGGGCTTCGGGCCCTTTTGGGGCTTAGGGCGATGAGAAGCATTCCAGAGCTTGCTAAGCAAAAATGTGAGCTCCCTGCTTGGGATCTTATGGTACACAACCCAACACAAGGTTGTACCCAGGCCCCTAGGAATTCACAGGGTGAATGTTCAGGGTTTAGGGGTTAGTGATGAGGACTCAAGGTTACCCCAAACAAGGCTGAAAGTCTTCTTGAAACATGCGGAACCCTTAACCCTAAACCCTAAACACTGGAAGCCTTCTCCACGTAGATGCGAAGGATGTCGTTGTAGTTGGAGAGAAGCACCGAATCCTGGGGGTTCAGGGGCTTAGGGCCCAGGGAGCCCCACACCGTCCCTTCAAGAGTTGAGGGAACTGCCTACACCACAAACCCTGAACCCCAAACCCTAAACCCTAAACCCTAAACCCTAAACCCTGGAGTAAGTGGAAGGTCTACGGACCGAACGGCTCGGCTCAAGCCCGGGCTTGGCCACTTTCTCTCCGAGGGATTTAGGGTTTGGGGTTCAGGGGTCAGGGGTTAGGGTTTAGGGTTTAGGGTTTAGGGTTTAGGGTTTGGGGTTTAGGGTTTAGGGTTTAGGGTTTAGGGTTTAGGGTTTAGGGTTTAGGGTTCTGGGGGGAACTCGCTGATCGAGGGGCTTGGGGGGCGGGGGGTTTGGGGGTTGGGGTTGAGGGCTTCGGGCTTAGGGGGTTTCAATGTGGCTGCTAGGGGGCTTTCGGGCTAGGGACATAGGGTCTATGGTTGAGGGCTTTAAAAAACCGTTGGGGTTCAGGGTTTAGGGCTTAGGGCTTCGCGTTTGGGGTTTAGGGTTGAGGGCTCAGGGCTTGGGGGGCTTACATGTCCTGGTAATCCTGATCCTGCTCATCGAAGATCTCCCAGCAGGGCATGGAGACGACTCGGACCTGGGTCGAAGAGGCCTTAGGAAACCTTTTTGCCTCAAACCCGAAACCCTATTACAGGGGGCCGGAGTAGTTACTAACAGCATGCCCTTATGGTCCTCCCTTTCTATACTATAACTACCCCCCAAAATCCTATACTAACGATGAAGGCTCCTATACTAAACCCCGAAAGCTCTTCTTTCTGTCCAAAGCCTTAGAGAGTTCTCAGCCTCTGCTGCAGGCCCGATCAAGAAGGAACACCCTTTGGCACAAAAACTCTCTTCCAAACCGTAGACTAGCAAAGAAACACCCGGCAGCCCAGCAACCATATTCAAGTAAGGGCACCCTTTTTGGGGTTGCTTGCTTTTCAGGGAACCTTGAACCCAAAAAAAGGGAAAAGGGGCACCACTGGGCTACCAAGCAACCCTAAACCCTAAACCCTAAACCCTACACCCTAAACCCTAAACCCTAAACCCTAAACCCTAAACCCTAAACCTAAGTTAGTATAGGGGGGACAAAAGACCAAGACGCCTCACAAAACAATGGCCGAAGCCCGCGAAACTCTCAAGCCCTAGGCTCCTCACCGTAAAACCTTTTACCCTGGAACACTCAACTTCTAAACCCTAAACCCTAAACCCTAAACCCTAACCCCTAAACCCTAAACCCTAAACCCTAAACCCTAAACCCTAACCCCTAACCCCTAAACCCTAAACCCTAAACCCTAAACCCTAAACCCTGAACCCTAAACCCTAAACCCTAAACCCTAAACCCTAAACCCTAAACCCTAAACCCTAAACCCTAAACCCTAACAAACAAGCCGAGGTGTGCCTTCAGCAGTGCCTGATTCTCCCATTTCGCCGGAGGGAAGCCGTCGAAGGCTCCTCACAATAAGAGACAGGGCTTGGAGCTGAGGATGTCGGCTGAAACAAAAGAGAAAGCGCAAGAGAGGGAGAGAGAGAGAAAGAGAGAGAGAGAGAGAAAGAGAAAAATAAAAAATAAAAATAAGGAAGGAAAGAAGGAAAGAAAGAGAAAGAAAGAAAGAGAAAGAAAGAGAAAGAGAGAGAGAGAGAGAGCGAACAACAAAAACAGCAGAAGAAGAGGCAGGGCAGGGAGAAGCGAGATAAAGAGAGCCTGGAGGGAGCGCTTCCGGCTCTGTTCACTCAGTTGTCCAGTAGGGGTTTTAAAGGTTAACCTTTGGGAATCTAAGGGGAATATATTGACCCAAAAAGGTTAAAGGTTACCTACTCTACTACTAAGTTCAGGTGCAGCGGGGGTTTAGCTAGGCCTAGGGGGGCTTGGAGCTTGCAGCTTGCCGGGCTGAGGGAAAGTTTTGACATGGCTTAGGGTTTGGGGGGTTTGGGGTTTAGGGTTTAGGGTTTAGGGTTTAGGGTTTTAGGGTTTTAGGGTTTAGGGTTTCAGGTTTAGGGCTTAGGGCTCAGGGCCAGGGGTTTCTGACATGTTGTTGGATTTCGGGTTAAGGGTTAAGGGTTTTGGGCTTTGGGTGTAGGGTTTAGGGTTTAGGGTTTAAGGTTTTGAAGTCCTTTCAGGGCTCGGATGGTGCCTACATGGCCTGAATCTTAAGCCCCAAGGGCCCTAAACTCTACACCCAAAAACCCTAACCCTAACCCTAAAACCCTAAAACCCTGAACCCGGACCCAGAACCCCAAGCCTCGACCCCAAACCCCCCAAGCCCAAAGGCTATACTCCCCTTAGAACCTTCGCAAAACAAAATGTTTCATATTCCCTTGGGCTTTCACCCTAAACCCTAAACCCTAAACCCTAAACCCTAAACCCTAAAAACATAGATAAAGACACTAAGGGGGCGATAGAAGGAGGAGAGTCCTGACAGCTGCTGGTTCACCTTCCGCGACCACTGCAGAAGGAGAGCCTGATCCCGGGCCGACAGATCCCGGCGTTTCCCAGGTTTAGGGCTTTGGGAGCTTGGGTTTAGGAACCCTGAACCCCAAACCCCAAACCCTAAACCCTAAACCCTAGACCCTAAACCCTAAACCCTAAACCCTAAACCCTAAACCCTAAACCCTAAACCCTAAACCCTAAACCCTAAACCCTAACTTCAACTTCGGAACCCCAAACCCCAAATCCTGGACCTTGGGACTTTGGAGATCGGGTTCTGTCGTCTTCCGATGTTTCGATTTAAGGAAAAAATCTAGGAGAACGCCACAGATCCGAGGCGTAACATAGGGTTTGGGGCTAAGGGTGTAGGGTTTAGGGTGTGGGGTTTAGGGTTTAGGATTTAGGGTTTAGGGTTGTTTAGGGTTTAGGGTTTAGGGTTTAGGGTCACCTTTTGAATTTGAATGGGTACTTAAGCCCCTTGCAGACATTGTGATTCTGCAGGGGACATACGGGGAGAATGTTGATACCCCAACTTCCAGCCCTTGCTGCAGTTTCGGGTCCAGCGCTGAGGCTCAAACCCTTTGAGTCCTTACACCCCCTAAACCCTAAACCCTAAACCCTAAACCCTAGACCCCCTCTTTCCGAAGTGTCCTTCCGCCCCGCAAAAAAGGGGCCTCCTGAAAGCCCCCATAGAGACCGAGACTTAGACGTCAAGGCGTCAAAGCTCCGTCCTTCGTCTCCATGACCAGCGCCACATCCTGGCCGCTGCCTCAAGGGGCCGGCAGAGCCAGTTGGAGGGGCTTTCCAAGAAAGGTGAGGGGTCCTGGGGTTTGGGGTTTAGGGTCTAGGGTTTGGGGTTTAGGGTTTGGGGATTAGGGTTTAGGGCTTAGGGCTTAGGGCTTCGGGCTTAGGCAGGTCTTGTTCCGAGGACCCTCGTCGGATTGATGTACCGTGCTGTTCCCGGCTCACCCTAAACCCTAAACCCTAAACCCTAAACCCTGAACCCTAAACCTTCAACTTTGTTCATCTCGCACTGAACCATGCCTGTTCGTAGCTCACGGCGGACCCGGCGACCCGGAAGCACAGGCCCTGTAGCAGCCCGCCCGCATCGTCAGAGCCTCAAACTCATGCGGCACGCGAGCTTCCCAACACCTTGCGGTGCAGTCCATTTATGAAGCGCATCCCCGGCATTGAGTTGCTCAGTGCCCGTTGCAGTGTTCTAGCAGCTGGGTCAGCTAAGTGCACCTACTTGGAGGTTCAGGGTACTTATAACCCCAATGTTGCTGCACGTATCAGTCCTCTACGTAGGTTATTGGCAGACGTGTACCTCCAAGTATGTGCAGCTAGCACACACAGATGGCATCAGACCCTAAACCCTGAACCCTAAACCCCAAGCAGATGCCAGAAGCAGTCATGGAAGTCTCTGCGGGCCTGTTCTCCCCCACAGCCGCTCCAGGGTCCGGTTCCAAAAAGGGCGTGGACCGAAACCCAAGGGTTTAGGGTTTAGGGTTTAGGGTTTAGGGTTTCGGGCTTCGGGTTTAGGATTTAGGGTCGGGTGTGTGGGGTTTGGAGGCCCAAGGCCTGGTAACACAGCCCTCAAGAACCCAAGAAACGTAAACCCTTGAGCCCTTGCACCCTCCAGAAACAAAACCCCCGAAACCCTAAACCCTAAACCCTAAACCCTAAGCCTCAACTCTAAACCTCAACCCTGAACCCTGAACCCTGAACCCCAAACCTGAACCCTGCACACCCCTGGATCTCAAACCACAAAAGGCAAGCTCGGGATCTGCGGTTCCAGGCATTTACACTAGAAACCGAAACTCAACACGCAACCAAACACTGTGGAACCTCTAGGGGCTTCATTCAAGAAAGGTGTAGGGTTTAGGGTTTAGGGGTTTAGGGGTTTAGGGGTTTAGGGGTTTAGGGGTTTAGGGGTTTAGGGGTTTAGGGGTTTAGGGGTTTAGGGGTTTAGGGGGTTAGGGGTTAGGGGTTTAGGGGTTTAGGGGTTTAGGGGTTTAGGGGTTTAGGGGTTTAGGGGTGTAGGGGTTTAGGGGTTTTAGGGGTTAGGGTTAGGGGTTTAGGGGTTTAGGGGTTAGGGTTTAGGGGTTTAGGGTTTAGGGTTTAGGGGTTAGGGGTTTAGGGCTAGGGTTTAGGGTTAGGGTTTAGGGTTGGGTTTAGGGTTTTAGGGGTTTAGGGGTTTAGGGGTTTAGGGGTTTAGGGGTTTAGGGGTTTAGGGGTTTAGGGGTTTAGGGTTTAGGGTTTAGGGTTTAGGGGTTTAGGGGTTTAGGGGTTTAGGGGTTTAGGGGTTTAGGGGTTTAGGGTTTAGGGTTTAGGGTTTAGGGTTTGGGGTTTAGGGTTTAGGGTTTAGGGTTTAGGGTTTAGGGTTTAGGGCTTAGCTTCAACACCTGCTACCGGCCGACCTATGAGAATGATGTCCGGCAGCTGGGAGGTTGTCAGCTGCGCCGTGTGCGTGTCGTGGCAGTCATGTACCACGTAGGCTCCTCTTCTTGGGCTTGAGGGGTTTTCTGGGGTTAGGGTTTAGGGTTTAGGGTTTAGGGCTTAGGGCTTAGGGCTTAGGGCTTAGGGCTTAGTAGGGCTTAGGGCTTCGGGTTTATAGGGCTTAGGGCTTAGGCTTTAGGGTTTAGGATTAGGGTTGGGAGCCTACTTTCGGGGAATGGATGCGACAACAGAGGGGGGCTCTTCTCAAATCCACCCCCGAGGCCCCTGAAACCTCAAGACAACAAAACCCCAAGACCCTGAAACCCAAAAAATGACATATCCTAACCCCTAAAAGCCATGACTCCCCCCCCCCCTAAAAAAAAAAACAAAAAAAAAAACTGTTCCCCTATGCCAAAAAGCATAAAACCCTGAACCCTAAACCCCAAATCCCAAAAAAAACTATAACCTGGGGGGCTTCAGAGCCAACGGCCCTTGCAGTCAACTGTTGCCACAAAAACTTAATCAACAATAACAAACAATAAGAATAACAACAATAATAACAAGAGTAGAGTAGGAAAAAGAATAAAGAAACAACCGAAAAACCCTAAAACCCTGAAACCCTAAAACCCTGAACCCAAAAACCCTGAAACCCGAAAACCCCGAACCCTAAACCCTGAAACCCAAAAACCCTGAAACCCTAAAACCCCGAACCCTAAACCCTGAAACCCAAAAACCCTGAAACCCTAAAACCCTGAACCCTAAACCCCAAAGCCTTTGCTACAAAAGAGTGGCCTCTCAGGACCCCATCGCGGCCCTTCAGCGGGGCATTGCCTCCCAGTGCGGCTCAGGGGATTAGGGGTTTGGGGTTTGGGTTTAGGGTTTAGGGTTTAGGGTTTAGGGTTTAGGGTTTAGGGTTTAGGGTTTAGGGTTTAGGGTTTAGGGTTTAGGGTTTAGGGTTTAGGGTTCAGGGTTCAGGGTTTAGGGTTTAGGGTTTGGGGTTCAGGGTTTAGGGCTTAGGGTGTAGATTGAGGCTGAGTCTTTGGGGCTTTCTGCCAACTGAAGCCCGCGCCTTCCTCCCAGAGGCGCGAGGCGCAGGGCGTGGGCTTTGGAGGGTTCGTTGGCTTTTCAATTTTCAGGCCTAAACCGTAAGCCCGAAACCCGAAAAACCCTAAACCCAGAACCCTAAACCCTAAAGCCTAAACCCTAAACCCTGAACCCTGAACCCTAAACCCTAAACCCTAGCCCTGAACCCTAAACGCCGAGGTTTCCATCGCGGAAAGTTGCGGCCAGGGTGCTTTTGTAGGGAAGGCCGAGCTCCCCCCGCGAGGTCATGATGAAGACCTGGGAGCCCCGAGGAGGCCCCCAAGGTAAGGGTTAGGGTTTAGGGTTTAGGGTTTAGGGTTTAGGGTTTAGGGTTTAGGGTTTAGGGCTTAGGGTTTAGGGTTTAGGGTTTAGGGTTTAGGGTTTAGGGTTTAGAGTTTAGGGTTTAGGGCTTAGGGCTTAGGGTTTAGGGTTTAGGGTTTAGGGCTTAGGGCTTAGGGTTTGGGGTTTATTGTTTAGGGTTTAGGGTTTAGGGTTTAGGGTTTAGAGTTTAGAGTTTAGGGTTTAGGGCTTCTAGCCCCGTTTAAACTTCACGTCGCCTTGACAAGAGCAAACAACGAAACTAGCCGGACCGCAGGATTTGTAACAAGGTTTAGGGTTCAGGGTTCAGGGTTTAGGGTTTAGGGTTTAGGGTTTAGGGTTTAGGATTTAGGGTTTAGGGTTTAGGGTTTAGGGTCCCCCGCCCCAACACAAACAGAAGGAGCTCTGCGCACTCAACGAACAACCCTCGACCCTAAACAACGCCAAAAGCCTGGAACAGATCCAAACATAAAAAGCCGTGAATTGCTTTTAAACCCCTCAGAAATTCTGAAACCTGAAACCCTAAAACAACCCCAAAGCCCTAAACCCTAAACAACCCCAAAACTTCAAGCAACCCTAAACCCTAAACAACCCTGAGACTCCCAAACCCTAAACCGGAAACCCTAAACAACCCTAAACAACCCTAAGCAACCCTAAACAACCCTAAACAACCCTGAACAACCCTAAACAACCCTAAACAACCCTAAGCAACCCTAAGCAACCCTAAACAACCCTAAACAACCCTAAACAACCCTAAACAACCCTAAGCAACCCTAAGCAACCCTAAACAACCCTAAACAACCCTAAACAACCCTAAACAACCCTAAACAACCCTAAACAACCCTAAACAACCCTAAACAACCCTAAACAACCCTAAACAACCCTAAACAACCCTAAAAAACCCTAAACAACCCTAAACAACCCTAAACAACCCTAAACAACCCTAAACAACCCTAAACAACCCTAAACAACCCTAAACAACCCTAAACAACCCTAAACAACCCTAAACAACCCTAAACAACCCTAAACCCTGAAACCCTAAACTCCCTGCATCCCAGCGGCAGGGCGGCGCTTCAGAGGCTTGGGGTCGATGTACTGCTCCACACTGGGTTGGGGGGGAATTGGGGGGGGTTTAGGGTTTAGGGTTCAGGGTTTGGGGTTGGGGGTTTGGGGTTTAGGGTTTAGGGTTTAGGGTTTAGGGTCTAGGGTCTAGGGTTTTGGGTTTTGGGTTTAGGGTTTTAGGGTTTAGGGTCTAGGGTCTAGGGTTTCGGATCTAGGGTTCAGGGTTTAGGGTTTAGGGTTGAGGGTTTAGGGTCTAGGGTTTAGGGTTTAGGGTTGAGGGTTTAGGGTTTAGGGTTTAGGGTTCAGGGTTCCACCCTCTGAAGAACATGCTCAGGGATGGGGTTTGCGGGTGTAAGAGGGGTTAGGGGGGTTCGGCGGCTGGAGTTTAGGTGTTGTGGGGTTTGAGGCTCAGGGAGGGCGAGGCGGGTTCAGCGTCGCTGAGTTGCTCACTGAAGTGTAGCTCAGGAACCGGCATGCTCAGACTGTACCCCAAACTCAACCCCGAAACCCCAAACCCCTTTAAACCCCAAACTCCCGAAACCCTACATTCTTCCCTGTTAAGGCCAGCACTCGCGATGGCCGGTGTACTGCTCGGCAAAAACACGGAAAGCTCCTACCACCTGGCAAGGCAGAGAGGGTTTAAGGCTTAGGCTATAAGGTTGAGGGTTTAGGGTTGAGGCTTTAGGGTTTAAGCATTAGGGTTTTGGGGTTTAGGCTCAGGGCTTGAGGCTTCTTGGCAGGGTTTGGAGTTTAGGGTTGTTTTCAGAGGTGGCTAGGGCTACAGACGTCAGAGGGCTCTGTCCAAGAGCTTCCTGTTGCGGGTTTCTGGTTTAGGCGTTTGGGGTTTAGGGTTTGGGCTTTTAGGGGATTTGGGTTTTGAGGCACGGGGGGGGTCTCCGAAAAACACCCTGAACCCGAAGACCCGAACCTTAAACCCCTCTGCAAAAACCCTAATCCCCTTTAGGGGGTGCTCTGCTGGATTCGAATATGTGGGTCGGAATAATTACTGGTGCTATTCCCTTGTGGTCCTTTGTCTTTATCTTATAATAACCCCCAACACCCTATTAAAATTATTGAGGCACCTGGGGGGGGGGGGGGCATGTAAGGGGACACAGGTCAGAGGTCAACTCCCAGCTCACCTCCCAGACCTGAATCCGAAACTCGGGTTGTTGAGTAGGGGCTAGCTAGGGGCTAGGGGCTAGGGGCCAGGGGCTAGGGGCTAGGGGCTAGGGGCTAGGGGTTAGGGGCTAGGGGCTGGGGGCTAGGGCTAGGGGCTAGGGGTTAGGGGTTAGGGCTTAGGGTCTAGGGTCTAGGGTTTAGGGCTTAAGGGTGTAGCGTCTAGGGGTGTTGGGGTCTGGGGGTTTTGGGCAACCTCGAATGCCACAACCCCAACCACCAGGCAAAGTGAACCTCCGGATGGGAACCCTAAACCCTAAACCAAACCCTAAACCCTAAACCCTAAACCCTAAACCCTAAACCCTAAACCCTAAACCCTAAACCCTAAACCCTAAACCCTAAACCCTAAACCCTAGACCGGTCCTGCCTCCTCCACGTCCGCGGGGCGGACCACGAGGAAGTTGGGCCTGAAAAAATGACTAAGAATGGCCCTTAAAAAGCCTCTGAAAAATATTCCCTATTCCCCAAACCCTAAACCCTAAACCCTAAACCCTAAACCCTAAATATGATCCTCTTAAACCCAATAAGGGAAAATATAAGATATCCCAAGGGCGTACCTAGACTAGAGATTCAGGACTTTAGGGCTTTGGGGCGTTTTTTTGCTTTAGGGCCTTAGGGGTTCAGGGGTTTAGGGGCCGAGCGTGCGGAAGTTAAAGGGTTCGGGGCTTGGGTTCAGCGTTCAAGGCCCAACTCGGGCACGAAATGGCAAACCCTCGGACCCTCGACCTACACCTCGAGACCCCCTAAACCCTAAACCCTAAACCCCAAACCCTAAACCCCAAACCCTAAGCCTAAACCCTAAACCCTAAACCCCAAACCCTAAGCCTAAACCCCAAACCCTAAACCCCAAACCCTCAGACCCCGGCATGGCGCGCAGCTGCGGCAAGACCTCAACGGGCTGGTGCGTCGGGCCGTCCTCCGCAGGGTGCGAGACTTTGCATCTTGGGGCTTCGGGTTTGGGGTTTAGGGTTTAGGGTTTGGGGTTTGGGGTTTAGGGTTTAGGGTTTAGGGTTTAGGGTTTAGGGTTTGGGAATTTTGGTGTGTTTTTGTTTTTTTTGGAGGGGGGGGGGAGGGGACGGGACTTGGGGGGAGGGAGGTCGCTGGGTTTAAGGGTTCAACGTTTGGGGGCTCAGGGTTCAAGCCCTGGCTTTCGGCTTGCGCGTTGGATACGACGAACTGAACAAGACCCCTAGACCCTAGAAGCTCTTTGCTCAAGAAACACCCCCTCTGGCAACATGCGAAAGTCAGAACCCGTGCACCTCCCCGAAGATCCGACCCTTACGCAGAAGCCTGCACTGTTGCAAACCCCGAGGCCCCAATCAATCTCAACTCTCGCGATTCGAAGCAGAGACGGATGGCTTGCTTCTGGACAAGGCAGCTGCCTCGGCGAGAGCGGCCATGCTGCATTCAGGCAACCTTTTGGAAAGCGGTCTGCGCAAGCCTGCAAAGTGGTGTGTCTTAGCTGGCTTGTGCCCTGGCAGCTTCTCGCGCATGCCAGGACATTGGGTTCAGGCCCCGGTGTTGCGGCACGAACCCGGGATGCAGGGCATGCATAAACTCCACAAACTCTTGCAAGTCTAGAAACCCACCGGACTTACCTGGATGTGTCTCCAAGATCCCTGTCTCGAAAGAGTACGGCACCGACATGTCGAAGCCGAACCATTGCAGCCGCTCTTCCTTCCAGCTAAAGGTGCTTTGAACATGGAGGTCGCGTGATCCATCAACTCGGCTATCCCATGGCCAACCAGCACGATCCCGAAAAAACACTCATTCTCTTGGATCTCATGTGCCCACGCCAATGTCAAGGCCACATCGCCATCATCCAGCAGCAACAGGGCGGCCAGGTTGAGGTTTTCGTCCATGGACCCGCCCTCGCAGTATGTGGCATCCAAGGCAATGATTGCCACAGGCTGCCCCATCTTCTTTGAGCTGCCCGGATTCCCAATCATTTCTACAAAAGTGCCGCGGCGAATGCCGCTCCTCGAAGGCTCGGCCAAAAACTGTAGCCACAAGAAGTTGATGAATGGTTCGAGGGAGTCTGGCTTGAAGGTCCATGGAAGTGGCTGCAAGAAGTTGTCCGCAACATCGTCGTACAGCGTGTGCTTGAAGGAGACCCTGTTATCTAGAAAGGTCTCATTCAAGCAGCAGCGCTGGGCTGTAAGCAGAAATGATTCACACACTGGCCGTCAGTCTCTGATGCAGGTTCTATCTGGACCAAACTCTCGCCAAGCACACGCAAAGGCCAGCGTCGGGGCGTGGGGCTTCTGAGTTTCTAGCAATTCAGGAGATGCTCGTGACACTTGCACTACATCTGCAACCGTGAGCAATTCCTCCAGACCCTGGGTAACAAACAGCTGCCTCGGGACACCAAGCGTTTGCATCATTGGTTTCAGCATGGCTTAGTGCACAATACAAAATACAGTATATGATTACACTGTACTACAGTAAGTAGCATAAAGTAATATAGCAAACTATCTGGTATGCTATCTAGTATACTCTCTTGTATACTCTCTGGTATACTCCAGTATATAACCAGATTCCTGTCCTGCCTGGGCCAAGACACCAAGAGAGGCGGGACCACGACAACGAATTGCCATCCAATCAGATCAAGGACCCCAATTTTCTACCCCAAATAGAAGAGAATCCCCTTAAAAGGGATCCCGAAAAAAGGGTACCCCTCATTTCGGAAACCCCCATTAAATCTAGGCGCTAGAACATGTTGCGGGTCGGGGAGCGGAGACAAAGTCCGGTCTGTCTTTGCCAGCGAGAGCAAGTTTCACCCATGGGTACATTTAGGGGATAGGATTAGGGGCCCCAGGGACCTTATTCAGAGGGTCCATTTCTCCAAGGTTTCTCCCCCTAATCATTAGGGGGAGAAACCTTGGGGAAATGGACCCTCTGAATAAGGTCCCTGTTGAAGAGAGCCAGAAGAGGGTTAAGAAGGGGTTCCCTTCTAAGGGGTCCCCAAACCCTAAACCCTAAACCCTAAACCCTAAACCCCTTAACCCTAAACCCTAAACCCTAAACCCTTAAACCCTAAACCCTAAACCCTAAACCGTGATATAATGCTAGTCTTCTGTCGAGCACAGATGGGCTCCGAACAGGTTTGTCACAAATGACTCGCACATGCTTGTCTCGAACTGATTCATGGTTGGGATAAGATTAAGTTTTTGAAATGTTATTCCTATAGGGTTTAAGTACCCTTAAAAATGCAAAATGTTACCCCACTATGACAAAGATGTATGCGGACTGTGCAACAGAAGACATGTCCGATCGAAAGAAAGCATACCCGTCAAGATAGAAATCGTAGCATCGCAAGGGGGTTCTTGAGGGTCTTCTTAAGGTTGATCCTAAACCCTAAACCCTAAACCCTAAACCCTAAACCCTAAACCGCCAAGGACACTTCAAGGCTTCCTCCGAAAGCAACCCTGCGGCTTCAGTAGCAGTCCCAAGGGCTCTGAGGACGCTCAAACCCCTAAACACCAAGGCCCACAACCTTACACCTCATCGCATTTGTCCACCCTACTCTACTACGGCTATATTAACCCTAAACCCTAAACCCCAGACCCGAAACCCCAAACCCTAAACCTAAACCCCAAACCCTCAACCCCAAAGCCTAAACCCCAAACCCTAAACCCCAAACCCCAAACCCTCAAGCACAAGGGACTCCTCCCCCAGGTCGATGGAGTCGTGCGTGCCGATGTAAAGCACTGGGAACTTGGAGATTGAGGCCTTGGGATTGAAGGGTTAGGGTTTAGGGTTTAGGGTTTAGGGTTTGGGGTTTCGGGTTTGGGGTTTAGGGTTTAGGGTTTAGGGTTTGGGGTTTGGGGTTTAGGGTTTGGGGTTTGGGGTTTAGGGTTTAGGGTTTGGGGTTTGGGGTTTGGGGTTTGGGGTTTGGGGTTTGAGGTTTGGGGTTTGGGGTTTGTGGGTTTGGGTTTGGGGGTTTGGGTTTGGGGTTTGGGGTTTGGGGTTTGGGGTTTGGGGTTTTTGGGGTTGGGGTTTGGGGGGGTTTGGGGTTTGGGGTTTGGGGTTTTTGGGGTTTGGGGTTGGGGGTTTGGGTTTGGGTTGGGGTTTGGGGTTTGGGGTTTGGGGTTTGGGGTTTGGGGTTTGGGGTTCAGTTTAGGGTTGGGGTTTGGGGTTTGGGGTTTGGGGTGGTTTGGGGTTTGGGTTGGGGTTGGGGCTTGGGGCTTGGGGGTTTGGGGGTTGGGGGTTGGGGGTTGGGTTGGGTTGGGGGTTTGGGGTTGGTGTTTGGGGTTTGGGGTTTGGGGTTGGGGGTTGGGGTTTGGGGGTTTGGGGTTGGGGTTTGGGGTTTGGGGTTTGGGGTTTGGGTTGGTTGGGGTGGGGTTGGGGGGGTCTTAGGGTTTGGGGTTGGGGTTGGGGTTTGGGTTTTGGGTTGGGGTGGGGGTGGGGTTGGGGGATTGGGGCTTGGGGGGGGTTGGGGTTTGGGTTTGCGGGTTGGGGGCTTGGGATTTGGGGCTTGGGGTTTGGGGTTTGGGGTTTGGGGTTTGGGGTTTGGGGCTTGGGGCTTGGGGTTTGGGGTTTGGGGTTTGGGATTTGGGGTTCAGTTTAGGGGTTTGGGTTTGGGGCTTAGGGTTTAGGGTTTGGGGTTTGGGGTTTGGGGTTTAGGGTTTTGGGTTCAGGGTTTAGGGTTTGGGCTTGAGGGAAGTTTATGGTTTAGGATTTGGGGTTCAGGGTTTGGGCTTCCTACATTAGGGTTTAGGGTTTGGGGTTTAGGGTGGAGGGCTTGGTGGTCGCGGGCTTCACCCTGAGCTGAGCCATCCTTCAGCCTTCCTTCACCCGAACCCCTAAACCCTAAACCCTAAACCCCAAACCCCAAACCCCAAACCCTAAACCCTAAACCCCAAACCCGAACCCCGTTCAGCTGGGGCGTGGGCCATTCGGAGTGCAGGCATGCCGTACCTGGCGGCCCCCTCAAAACCCAGAGCCCTACAACCCTAAGCCCATGAAACCCGAAGACCCTCAAGCATCCCAAACCCTTCAAAACCTAAAACGCTGACACCTAAACGCCAAACGCCAAACACCCATAAAAGCCATGTTTGAAACAAAAAGCGAGACATGAAAGCCCCCGTGCCCCCCCCCAAAGCCCGCGAAGCCCTAAAACCCCGGAAGCCACCAAACTGCGTTGCCGAACCAGCCGAAGCCCCGAAAGCCTCGAGTTTGTAACATCTAAGATGTAGGGTTTAGGGTGGAATCTCTGGGCATGATCCTCCATCCAAGTTCAGCCGACTGAAGGCACAGAGACTGAAAACTTTAGGTTTCAAAGACTTTGACTCTGAAGCTTCTTCGGAACACCTGCAGCTCGACAAGCCCTGCATCCTCAAGCCCAAAAAAACCTAAACCCTACATCCTAGACCCTAAACCCCACATCCTAAACCCCAAACCCTACATCCTCAACCCCAAAACCACCACAGCCTACAGCCCAAGGGCATGACTTTTCAACTGGTTGATGGGGCTTAAGGCTTCCCGGTCAAGCGCTTGTGGCTTTAGGGTTTAGGGTTTATGCGTTTTGGTTTAGGGTTTAGGGTTTAGGATTTTATGGTTTAGGGTTTAGGGTTTAGGGCTTAGGGCTTGGAGCTTAGGGCTTAGGGTTTAGGGCGAGTCCCGGGCTCTGAAGGGTTGCGGGTTCTGGCCTTCTTGTTTGGGGTTTTGGGGGTTAGGAGATAGTGGGGTTTAGGGCTTGGTGTTTAGGGTTTAGAGCAAAGTGGGGTTTTGGCTTCGGATTTAGCGTGGTTTAGGCTGGCCCGCGCTGATTGAGGACTTAGGGCTCAGAGAGCCCCAAGCTTAAAGGGTTCTTAAGGGAGGGGGGTTCATGGGGGGTAGGTACCTAGGAAGCCTTAGGGAAGCTTAGGGAGCCCTGGGGAGTATTGGAGTATTGGGTTACATACCCCCCTTGAACCCCTTGAAGCCCTAAACCCTAAACCCTAAACCCTATAACTCGCGGAGCACTGGAAGAAGACGGTGAAGAGGGAGGCGTAGGGGATGAGCGCGGAGTAGGAGCAGATGCCGTTGAGGATGGCGAGGCACCTGAAGCCATGGTCTGCAGAGTGTCAGCTTTGGGTTTAGGGTTTAGGGTTTAGGGTTTAGGGTATAGGGTTTAGGGTTTAGGGTTTAGGGTTTAGGGTTTAGGGTTTAGGGTTTAGGGTTTAGGGTTTAGGGTTTAGGGTTTAGGGTTTAGGGTTTAGGGTTTAGGGTTTAGGGTCCCTACTCAACCTAATCTCTGAGCTGTAAAATCCTTAAAAAATTATGAACCACAAAAAGAATCCTGTAAACCCTATACCCTTTCAGCCCTGAACCGCAAACCCTCTCTGAACCCCATAATCCCTGAACCCTGAGCCCCATGCCCTATGGACCCTGAACCTCAAACCCTCTCATCCCTCTAAACCCTGTACCCTACGAGCCCCAAACCCTCTAGACCGTCCACTCTAAACCCTCTCGGCCCTCTGGATAATACAACCTTCTAAACCTTTCCAGAGGCCCCAAGCCATTCCAAACCCTCTAAGCCCTCCCAAACCTTCTCTAACCCTCTAAAAAGCCCCCAAAACACCGAACTCTCAACCCAAAAACCCTAGACCCTCTGAACCCCAAACCCTTCTAACACCCTCCACCCCCCCCCAACCCCCCAAAGAAAACAAACAACAACGAACTTTACCCTAAACCCTAAGCCCTCAAATAGAGCCGGGGCGCGCGTGCTCGCGCACGCCGAAGTGGATGTAGCGCCCGGCGTAGCTGCAGCCCGGCCGGAGGGAGGGCGGGAGGAAGTGGCCTCTCAAAGGTGGGGGGGGGGTTTTAGGGTTTGGGGTTTTGGGTTTAGGTTTAGGGTTTAGCGTTGAGGGTTTAGGGTTTAGGGTTGAGGGTTTGGGGTTTAGGGCACTTGCAGGTTGGACTTGTCTGGGGCTTTCAGGCTCCAAAGAGCTTGCACATTTCTGGGCTGCTTGGTGGGGGTTTGCGTGTTCGGCCAAGTGATATTAATCGTTTGGTTGTTACCCCTTATACTCATAGTCCCCATTATAGTATCCCCTCCTATTGAGGACTGTTAGTATAGTATAAGGGGCATCATCTGTCATAATTGCTATCATTCTTGCTACCATGAACATCATGAAAATAGGAATCATAAGAATTGTACAAATAGATGCTTGATGTTTACAACATCTTACCAATGATTGTGACGATCAGGAAAATACGAATAGCAATTGTACTCTGATAACTATCACGATGCTGTTATTGTTGGGGTCTATCGAGGGCTTCCTGAGTATTGCAGCAACAAACCCTAAACGTTAAACCCTAAACCCCCAACCCTAACCCCGCAACTCAACCCCAACCCTAACCCGGGCCTTGAACGCTTGGGAAGTGGGCCCCGACGCTGCTGGCGACGTCAGCAGATCCTCTCTTGGATTTGGGGCTTAGACTTAGGATTTTTGGGGTTTTGGGTTTAGATTTTGGTGCTTACGGTCCAGGGTTTCGTGTACAGGGGTTTCAAGAACCCCAAACATATAGCAGGGATGCAGGCGTCAGGGCCTTTAGGTTTGAGCTGTAGAAGCATGGTGACTACAGGGTACCGGCTTCACAGAAATTGTGTAGAGCCTGGGTCCGAATAACGTTGGCTCGAAAGTTTTGAACGAAACGCTTTGAACGAAAAGCTTTGAACGAAAAAGTTGAACGAAACACTTTGGACGAGCTTGTGTCTTGGAACCCATTTTTCAATTTTGTGAGGAGGTGGGCTTGCAGAAATGCAAGTAGACTCCACCGTGTCGGGGGGCGCTGCACCCCCACCCCCTTAAAGGGGGGGCATGCTGAAATTGTAATTTACATTTTGGGCCCCCGTGATTTGCGGCACTCCTCGGGCGCCGTTTATGCAAGATTGTAAAATAAAAGCGTTTACAATTATGCGCCCCCTCCCCCATTTTACATTTTTAAGGGGGTGGGGGTGGCGCTGCCCCCCGAACCTCCTTTGAAGTTTTGAACGAAAGCTTTGCGCGACAGTTTTGACCGACAGTTCCGAACGAAAATTTCGACCGGTGTTGGATGCGAGCGAAAGTGTTGACCGAAACGTTGGCTGGACAGAAAGCGTCGAACGAACGTTTTGCTCCTTGTTTGACTGAAAGTTTTGAACGAACCTTTAGGCCGAAACATGTTTGACCAAATGTCTTGATCGAAAAGTTTTGACCGAAACGTTTTGACCGAAGGCTTCTGTTGTTGCAGCTTAGGTTCACATTTGGAAGCTTTGAAGGGCTGGGAGGGCAAAGCCTGCAGCATAGAATTGGCTTACATTCTTTTGGTGCGGGGGAGAAGCGGGTAACCCTAAACCCTAAACCCTAAACCCTAAACCCTAAACCCTAAACCCTAAACCCTAAACCCTAAACGGGGAGCTGGGGGAGGCGGTGGGGAAGGGGGGATCCCGAGAGGTTGAAGTGAATTGAATGTTTGGCCTCCTAGAGGCGCCTTGGATTAGATTGCCCCTAAACCCTAAACCCTAAACCCTAAACCCTAAACCCTAAACCCTAAACCCTAAACCCTAAACCCTAAATTAACTTGGGAAATTCAGAATGAGATCACATACCATTTCTATCCCTTGTGTCTTGTGGGAAATAGGTTTAGGGGTTTTCTCGTTTAGGTTTTCAGGTTTTTGAGGGCTTGGGGTTTTTGAGGTTTAGTTTAGGTTCCGGGGTTTAGGGCTGGGGCTGAACCCCTAAAAACAAGGAATAGCGGCCTTCTAGAAAACCTCGACTCCTTTCCGACCCTCATAAGCCCGATAAACCCTAAAACCCTCCCCTAAACCCCAAACCCTAAACCCTAAACCCTAAACCCTAAACCCTAAACCCTAAACCCTAAACCCTAAACCCTACAAACCCTAAACCCGAGTGAAACCCCAAGTCCGTAAGCCGAAAACACGTAACCCTGACACCCTGGCAGCCGTCAAACCCTTCAAAAAAAAAAACAACACTATCCACGGCATGTGAACCGAAAGCTTGTTGATCAGGTGGGTAGGGAACGACACTGTGTGTGTGTGTGTGTGCGTGCGTGTGCGCGTGTGTGCGTGTGCGCGTGTGTGCGTGTGTAGCACTTGCGCACTGCATGCGACTCATAAGATCGCAAAATTGGTCCCGAGAGTCAATGATTGCGGCATGAAGTATATTCATGAGCACAATTGCAATCTCCCTTGAAAAGGCAAACAAGCAATGGTGTTAGTGAGGACAGCTTCTTTAGTGTCAGGCACTACGGCGTCACATGCGGGAACTGAAAATTCGCGAAGAAAAACATCAGCGAAAAGCCCGTCTCCATTATCGCTGCAAGTGAGGCACCAAGATGACTCCACTCAGCGCTGAGCAGATTTCTTCCATGTGCTCAGGTGGGATCTGGGTTTGACAGGCACTTTTAAGTTTCGCGCAAACCCCGAAAGTGGTTGTTGGGGCTGTTGGCAAAGCAACGCACCGCCTGGCACAACACCAACACAAACACCAACACAAACACATCACTTTCTGTCAACGCGGGCAGTGCTAGCGCGGGCAGACACACTCTTTCGGCAGCAGAGACTTTCAGTCCCTTGTACTTGGAGGGGCCACTGGGCCACCTCCTGGTTCTACATCGGCCACATGGGGCCCACCTATCTGTGCGCCCACGCAACAGACGCCTGCGGAGGCCACATCGGCTGCAAGCCATCATCAGCGCACCTGCTGCACATGGAATGGGGCGGGCGGGAAATCGAACTCTCACAACACCAGAATGTGAACTGCACAAAAGCCAGCTACTGCTGAGACTGATGTGAAGCGGCCATGCGTTTACAGAAAGTGATAATTCTGCACGATGAGAGAGCCCCAACCGACACCAATACCCACACCCACGCCACGCCACGCCATCAGGCACCATCGCATCGATCTCACACACACACACACACACACACACACACACACACACACACACACACACACACACACACACACACACACACACACACACACACACACACACACACACACACACACACACACACACACAAACACACACACACACACACACACACACACAACCACACACACACACACACACACACACACACACACACACACACACACACACACACACACACACACACACACACACACACACACACACACACACACACACACACACACACACACACACACACACACACACACACACACACGCGCAAACAAGCCGAAAAACGCCTGACAAGCACCACCGTTCCTCAGCCCGAAAAGAAACATGCACACGTTGGGTCCTCCGGTCCTTTAATTTTGGGATGCATAAAGGAGCACCCCGCGGGCCGCGTCTGAGCCGCCTCAGGAGCCCGGATCCCCCGGATGGCTTCACGGGTCCTCCGATCAGCGCTGGGTTCTGCTCAGCGAAATTCTTCAGAACCTCCGAAACGTACACCTCAGTCGGTGGGACCGAGGGGGTCGGGCTTGGGCTGATATTCGCCTCTCTCTGATGTGGAACTGGCTAGTTTGGGTCTTTACTTGGAGGTGCATGGGTATTTATAGTAGGGTAACCATAGTTGTTGCTAAACCCTAAACCCTAAAACCTAATACTTCGAACCCTACTTAGAAGTAGCCAAATGACTAAGACTTGAGGAAGGCCTGGGATGGGCGTTGGGAGTTGGGAGGTCTCAGGTCTCAGGGTTTTGGGTCCTTGGCGGTTTGAGGTTTAGGGTTTAGGGTTTAGGGTTTAGAGTTTAGGGTTTAGGGTGCTAAAGCCTACACCTCTTGAGGCCCTGCAACCCATAAGCCCTACCCTACAACCCTAGATGCTTGCAAACCCTGTGAGCCCTAAACCCACAACCCTCAACCCAAAACCTTAAGCCCTAAACCCTAAACCCTAAGCCCAACTGAAGGATTCGGGGTCCAGAACTCAAGACGCTGGCGCGGCTCGTGGGTACGGCTGCGGGGGTTGAGGGCTGCGGGAGGTCACAAACTTCGCAAACCTCAAAAAAGGTTTGGGGTTTGGGGTTTGGCGTTTAGGGTTTAGGGTTTTTTTATGGTTTATGGTTTAGGGTTTAGGGTTTATGGTTTAGAGTTTAGGGTTTGCTAGCACACGCCAAGGACTGGAATGAGCGACCCCTCTGGATCGCTGCAATCGGGAAGACCTGAACCTAAACCCGAAAGCCTGAGCCAGCAGAGCGTCTCTGCCAGCTTTGTACTTGAAGCTTTTCGCGCCCACCTGCGGGATTGCTCGAGGGCGTATAGGGTTTTAGGGGGGGTGCTGGGTCTGGATTACCCCCCCCCCCTCTTATAGACGGACCTGTTGACGTCGAATCCTATTGAATTGGGGGGGGGGGGGGGGGAACTTTACGAGAAAATGAGCCCCCCAAATAATCGGATTCCCTACCCCTAAAACGGTACCCCTCGTGTCGGCTGAGGGGGTCATCTCGGCACTTTGGGTCCGAGAATCGATTTTGGGGGAGCCCTACTGACCGTACCCCTAAACCTGAGCGCCTGTGGGTTTCTGGCAGGATGAAGACACATGGAAGGTTAACGTTGTTGACAGGTCAACACCCCCGTTTGGGTGTTGGAGCCCTAAACCCTGCACCCGAAACCCGAAACCCTAAACCCTAAACCTTAAACCCTTTCGGGTGTGTAGGCTTTAGGCTTCGGGTTCAGGATTGCGGGCCTGGGTCTGGGAGCTTCGGTTTCGAGAGTTGGGGTCTGTGGTTTCACCCGAAACCCGTAAAAAAATTGACAAGCCACTATGAAATCCCAGAACCCTCAGCCCGGAGCCTTTTCACTCTAAACCCTGAACCTTCAGCCCTAAACCCTCAACCCTAAACCCTAACCCTAAACCCTAAACCCTAAACCCTAAACCCTAAACCCTAAACCCTAAACCCTAAACCCTAAACCCTAAACCCTAAACCCTGCTGGCCTTGAAACGCTTCGCCGGCGGCTCATCCCCTTCAGTCGGGTTCTCCTTCTGACTCAGGAACCGACAGAGTGTTTAGGGTTTAGGGTTCAGGGTTTAGGGTTCAGGGTTTAGGGTTTATTGTTCAGGGTTCAGGGTTCAGGGTTTAGGGTTTAGGGTTGGGGGGTTTAGTTGGGGGGTGAGGGCTTTTTAGGCTTTTAGGCCCTTCAGGGCTTTTGAGGCTTTTGGTTGAAGGAGTTGAGTGGTTGGGGGGTTGAGGAGTTTGAGGCCGCCCGCCCACCCACCCTGATATCAAATACTCCCATTTTGCTTTCCACGAATGGGAACATCGAATATTGTATACGGCTCCCCATCGCATCCCAAACTCTTTGATATCCGCTTAGATGAATTAGGCCGGCGTGTAGGCGCAGCTGCTGTGCAAAGCCGGGGTGTTTCTTCAGAAACTTCTTGATATTCGGATTTAGTGGCCAGGGTTCAGGGCTACACAATATTCCAGCTGAGTGGGGTTCTCTTGTTCTCTTTAGGGCGGAGACCGTGGGTTAGGAGGGCGTCTTAGGGTTTAGGGTTTACTTGGAGGTTCATGGATACAGTTATATGCAGGTTTATGAGTAGGGTAACTAGTTTTTATAACCTCATGTATCCTACCGAGAACCCTACCTCCGAGTGCCCAAATGAATCTCCAACCTAAACCCTAAACCCCAAACCACAAACCCTACACCCCAAACCCCAAACCCTAAACCCTAAACCCTAGACCCTAAACCCCTAAACCCCAAACCCTAAACCCTCAACCCAAAGCCCAACGAAGACCCTCAGCACCCGCGTCCTCGTTCCGAAGGTCGGGAAGGGCTGACATGATGGAAGCAAGCTCAGTGGACAGGTACTTCTCCTTGAAGGGTCTAGGGTTTAGGGTTTAGGGTTTAGGGTTTAGGCTTAGGGCTTAGGGTTTAGGGTTTAGGGTTTAGGGTTTAGGGTTTAGGGTTTAGGGTTTCGGGTTTCGGGTTTAGGGTTTAGGGTTTAGGGTTTAGGGTTTAGGGTTTAGGGTTTAGGGTTTAGGGTTTTTTAGGGTTTAGGGTTTAGGGTTAGGTTTAGGTTTAGGGTTTAGGGGTTTAGGGTTTAGGGTTTAGGGTTTAGGGTTTAGGGTTTAGGGTTTAGGGTTTAGGGTTTAGGGTTTAGGGTTTAGGGTTTAGGGTTTAGGGTTTAGGGTTTAGGTTTAGGGTTTAGGGTTTAGGGTTTTTAGGGTTTAGGGTTTAGGGTTTAGGGTTTAGGGTTTAGGGTTTAGGGTTTAGGGTTTAGGGTTTAGGGTTTAGGGTTTAGGGTTTAGGGTTTAGGGTTTAGGGTTTAGGGTTTGGGCTGGAGATTTGCAGGGCAAAGCTACACGAAAGCCGCATCAGAGTCCGTAAGACGAAGCCATCTGACCCCGGGGGGGATTCTAAAAGACAAGGGCTCCCTTGGACGCCTACTACAGAGGCATTCCAATTTTCGACAAGCCCACCCTGCCCTTTTTAGGCTTTTTTCAACCGCAACCCATATCCCGACTGAGGGTTTAAGCTTAAGCTGCTCAAGTATCAGCAGCATTCACTAGTCAAGCAGCCTGTCACGACGAAAGACACACCCACCCTAGGTAACCATTACATGTTGCTTCACACCAGCTTTCCTCCTCCCTCTCCGCGGGCCTTTTCTGTCCAAAAGGGAAGCCCTGAACCCCAAAGACGTTAAGCCAAGACACCACTAAGCAGAACAACCAGGCACATCCAAAAGCAAAAAAATCATGACAACCTGCCTTTTTGGTAAAGGATCGCTTGCACACACAGAGGGGCGTGCGTCAAAAAGACTTCTTGCGGGCTGGGTTGTTGGCTCTTGAAGCGACAGCAATTCGTGGGCATGTGCACCGGCGCTTCTCTTGCTCATGATTCGTGAACATGCTCACTGCGGCTCCTTTTGCCCACGAACTGTTGACACTGGAGAGGATCAGAAGTTCGTGGTGTTCACGCCACGAACTGTTGGAGCTTGGGAGTATACACAACTCGTGGGAATCATCGCTTGGCCACAAACTTGCCCACGGACTGTTGACACGGACAGCCGCAACCACGCATTGTGGACATGTGCCCATGAACTGTTGACACTGGTCAATGCAAAAACAACTCTGGGCAAACATGAAAACATCCTGGGCGAACAACAGTGCTGCTTGCCCACGAATTGTTCACAATTTGCCCACGAACTTGCACGTTCGTCCACGACGTGTTCACATTTGCCCACGATGTTTACCACGTTTGGCCACACAAAGAAAGGTCATGGGCGCCCGCGAAGGGATTATGCAGTAGATATACATCGGTAAGGGAATGTTCAGGTTTTTAAGGCTTGAAGTTTTAAGTCTTGAGACTCAACAGCGTTAAGGAGCAGGCCTTTGGTTCGGTACAGGGGTAAGGCGTGACTAGCAGACAGCCTGGGACCTCACAAATCCGCGTCACTATGTCCCAAACCCTAAACCCCGAAACCCTTAGCCATGAAGTCCTAAACCCCTCAACCCTGAAACTTGGGATGTTCCCCCTTATACTAACAGCCCCTTATAGGGATTGTGGTACCCCCTACTACAATCACCATTAAGGACTGCTGAACTGTTAGTACAAGGGGGAACATCCCAACCTGAACCCCTTAACCCTGCAATCCGAAAAGTTTGCCAAGCCCTGAAATCCACAAAGCTGGAGACAACTAAGGGATACAACAAGGAGGGACCCCGAGAAGGGACTCTTAGTCTTATTCCTCTATATAACCCCCTTATATACCCTTAAAAACCCCCCCTAAACCCCAAACCCTAAACCCCAAACCCCAAACCCCAAACCCTAAACCCTAAACCCTTTCGCCCCTTGAGCCAAGGTACCGCGGAGGCCTCCCAGCTGTCGGACACGTACTTCCCCTGGCGGCAAAGCTGAGCGGGGCTTACTTGGAGGTTCGGGTGAGGGTTTAGGGTTTAGGGGTTTAGGGGGTTAGGGTTTAGGGTTTAGGGTTTAGGGTTTAGGGGTTTAGGGGTTTAGGGGGTTAGGGTTTAGGGTTTGGGGTTTAGGGTTTAGGGTTTAGGGTTAAGGGTTTAGGGTTTAGGGTTTAGGGTTTAGGGTTTAGGGTTTAGGGTTTAGGGTTTAGGGTTTGGGGTTTAGGGTTTGGGGTTTAGGGTTTAGGGTTTAGGGTTTAGGGTTTAGGGTTTAGGGTTTAGGGTTTAGGGTTTAGGGTTTAGGGTTTGGGGTTTAGGGTTTAGGGTTTAGGGTCAAGGGTTAAGGGTTTAGGGTTTAGGGTTTAGGGTTTAGGTTTGGGGCTTTAGGGTTTATAACCCTCTGAAGCCGAACACCCTCTATCCCTATGCCCGAAGCCCTAAACCCTAAAGTCCCAAACCCTAAACCTATAACCTCTGAACCCTAAACCCTCTAACCCTCAACCCTGAACCCTAAGCCCCAAAAAGTCTGCAACCCTCCCTAACCCTCTAACCCTCTAACCCTCTAACCCTCTAACCCTCCAACCCTCTAACCCTCTAACCCTCTAACCCTCTAACCCTCTAACCCTCTAACCCTCTAACCCTCTAACCCTCTAACCCTCTAACCCTCTAACCCTCTAACCCTCTAACCCTCTAACCCTCTAACCCTCTAACCCTCTAACCCTCTAACCCTCTAACCCTCTAACCTTCCAACCCTAAACCCTAAAACCCTCCGAACCCTAAAACTCTGCAACCCTAAACCCGAAATCCTAAACCCTAATCCCTAATCCCTAAACCTTAAACCCTAAGCCCTAAAACTCTGCAACCCTAAACCCTAAACCCTAAACCCTGGGACGCCTGGAGCCGCTCCTCCAAGTCCCGCACCACTGCGGGCTCCTGTGGAGGCTTGGGAGAGTCGGGGGTGTTCAAGGTGTTGAGGGTTTAGGGTTTAGGGTTCAGGGGTTAGGGTTCAGGGTTCGGGGTGTTCAGGGTTTAGGGTTTAAGACCCTAAACCCTAAACCCTAGGCCTTGAACCCTAAACCTAGGGTTGTTTATGGTCTTATCTGCTTAGGGTTTTGCACGGGGCAAACCCCACACCTTAGACCCAAAACCTAGGGTTCTATGGTAGGGCTGGGGGTTTCAGGGTTTCGGGGACCTAGGGTGTTCATGGGTCGGGATTGGGGGTTCTTTGGGGTGCTTTACGGATGTATGAACATGTATAAACACATATATATATATATATATATACACATATATGTACATATATATATATGTATCAACCAAGGTCCTAAAGCCTAAACCCTACTAAACCCTCGATAACCCTAAACCCTTAACCCTAAACAATAAGCCCTGAACCTGAACCCTGAACCCCCAAACCCAGAACCCAACCCTACAGGGCCCCTCCTGGGGCTCCCTGAATTTAGGTTTTTTTTGGGGCAGGCCTTGTGATCCCCTCCCTCGTGGCTCCATGGCTAACGGTTGTTTCCAAAAACCCTTGGTTTGAGGGTTTAGGGTTTCGGGCTTAGGGTTTAGGGCCGTGTATGGAGAAGAACTCAAGGTCCTATCGGCGAAAGGGAAGGGTCTTAGCCAAAATGGACCCTCAACCCCTCCTAAAGCCTAAACCCTAAACACCTAGCCTTAGAGTACAAAGCCTAAGGGAGGGTGCATGATCCCACAGTCCTACAGGTCAGTGTTGGGCGTGACGCTTGAAGGACGACGTGAGAAGTCAGAACAGGAAAAGGACAAGCAGTACTAAGAGCACAACACTTCGCAACGTGCGGGGGAACGTTGGGCCACTCAGCGTAACCCGAAACGCGTCAAATTAACCCAAGAATGCAAACGGGAGGGGCCAGAAGATAGCAGCCACGAAGTTTTCAATCGGAGCGCCAGCGCCGCGGGCGTCATTTGGAAGACAGATATTTCCCCACGTCGCAGAACCCGAACTGCCTCCCCGCCACGGTGTTCTTGATGAGGTGGGCGAGTCGTGCCTTGTAGTCCTCGGACCCCGGCTCCCGCATCAGCACGTACGCCGCGCGGATGCGCCGGTAGGGCTCGGAGAAGGACTGCCAGTGCTTCCTCTACTCCCCTTAGAGCCTTAATAAAAAATATTTCTTTATAAAAATATCCTCTTGGGATTTAAATGAACAAAAATACAAATAATTCCCAAGGGGGATATAGCTTCCATGCGGCGGCCCCGCCCTTTTTCTTGATGGCCGCGTCGATGCCCTTGCGCGAGGGCTTCGCCTCCTTGTCGTTCTTGGCCACCTCGGCTGCCAGCTCTTTGCGCAGCGCTGCGCCGGGGATCATCCTCCTCCTGAGAAGCCACCGCGCCCGCTCGAGGTTGAGCTGCGAGTAGGGGCTGCCCTTGCGCCTCGGCGTGTACTGCTGCGCCCTCGCGGCGCCCTTGTCCATGGCCCGCAGCGTGCTGTCGATCCAGCCGAAGCACATGGCCTCCTCCACAGCCACGTCGTACGGGAGGGAGGGCAGCCCGGTCTCCTTCTTGGGCAAGTGCACGTGGATCCGCCGCTTCGTCGCCGCGTTCTTCTCCAACCACTCCCGCCACTGGCGGCGCTCCGAGACGCGAAAAAGCACCTCGCCGATCCCAGCGACATTCTTCACCACGGGGCGCACTGTCTTCCGGGAGCCCTTGGCGGTTTTTGGGGAGGCGCTGCTGTTCGCGCGCCTCCGCTTCGAACCAGCGCTCGCAGTGCCGCGCTTCATTCAGGTCGCTGCAAAAGTGCTAGCAGCTTAGGTGCTTTTAGTTGATTGGGGTTACAGTGAGGAAGCACAACGTGTGTGCTCCAGGCGAAGACCGGACAGTTGCTTCGAGTTGTGCAGGTATGCTACCATCGGGATGCTTGCCCTAAACCCCAAACCCTAAACACTAAGCCGAGACTAAACCCTAAACCCTAAACCCTGCGTATGAAGTTCGTGTCTACAGCAGTCAGGCTGCCGGGGCCTCGGACTTTGAAGCCCAAAAGGCTGAGCTCGACGTCCGTTTCAAGCCCAAACTTGGAGGGGTTCAGGGATTTAGGGTTCAGGGTTAAGGGTTTAGGGTTTGAACGCTTAACCAGTAACCCTTAACCCTTCTTGGAGGTCATGGGTACTTGTAACCCCATTTATAAGTCTACTTAGAACCTACCTAGAGGACTTAGGGAACTTAGGGGGCCTATAAGTACAGCTCTCTAATTGGGCTTCAAGTATCCTTGAATGGCCAAGAAAGTCCCTGAGCCCTTAGGGTTTGGTGTTTAGGCTCTGGGTTTAGGGTTTAGGGTTTAGGGTTTAGGGTTTAGGGTTTAGGGTTTAGGGTTTAGGGTTTAGGGTTTAGGGTTTAGGGTTTAGGGTTTAGGGTTTAGGGTTTAGGGTTTAGGGTTTAGGGTTTAGGGTTTAGGAGGTAGGGTTTAGGGTTTAGGGTTTAGGGTTTAGGGTTTCGGGTTTCGGGTTTAGGGTTTAGGGTTTAGGGTTTAGGGTTTAGGGTTTAGGGTTTAGGGTTTAGGGTTTAGGGTTTAGGGTTTAGGGTTTAGGGTTTAGGGGTTTGGGACGAAGTTTTCGTCAGCAGCCCCGTTGAGGCTGTACGGGTCGAGAGAACTTTCGGGGCTTTGGTGAGGGGCTGAGGGACTGAGGGAGCTTAAGGGTTTAGGATCTTTTCTGGGTTTAGGGGTTAGGGTTTAGGGTTTAGGGTTTAGGGTTTTTAGGGTGTAGGGTGTAGGGTGTAGGGTGTAGGGTTTAGGGCTTAGGGTTTAGGGTTTAGGGTTTAGGGTTTAGGGTTTAGGGTTTAGGGTTTAGGGGAACCCTAAAGCCTAAACCGCGGAGTCTACACCCTACGTAGCCAGCCCAAACCCCCGAACCCTACATCTTAACTCCAGAACCCCCTGCCTAGACCCAACAAGCTTCCAGTGCCGAGACGTGTGTCCGGAATCCCCTCAACCCTCGACCCCAAATCCACTTAGAACAACCCTTCTAGATCCCCTCCAGACATCTCGCGCCCTTCTAGAACCTGCCCCCTCCCGAAGCCCTAAACCCTAAACCCTAAACCCTAAACCCTAAAACCCTAAACCCTAAACCCTAAACCCTTAAACCCTAAACCCTAAACCCTAAACCCTAAACCCTAAACCCTAAACCCTAAACCCTAAACCCTAAACCCTAAACCCTAAACCCTAAACCGCACCGAAGAATGTTACTAATTAGGGGCTACAAAGTGCGTTCCTCGATCCGCTCAAGGGGCATCAAAATCGTGACCCGGCGCCAAACCCCAAAACTAACCCTCGAAGGTTTAGGGTTTAGGGTATAGGGTTTAGGGTTTAGGGTTTAGGGTTTCGGGTTTAGGGTTTAGGGTTTAGGCTTTAGGGTTTAGGGTTTAGGGCTCTCCTTCTGACGGAAGGTCTCGCAGTATCGGGTGCAGAGGCCCTCCCAAGCCTCGCAGAGGCTGTCGCCTCGCGCGGGCCGGATGTGTTTCAGGGTTTATGGGTTGGGGTTTAGGGTTTAGGGTTTAGGGTTTAGGGTTTAGGGTTTAGGGTTTAGGGTTTAGGGTTTGGGGTTTGGGGTTTAGGGTTTAGGGTTTAGGGTTCAGGGTTTAGGGTTCAGGGTTTAGGGTTTCGGGTTTAGGGTTTGGGGCCTCGGGATGAAGCTTGAGGCTTGAGGATTGAGGATTTAGGTTGGGATGTTCCCCTTTACGCTAACAGTCCACGGTTTAGGGTTTAGGGTTTAGGGTTTAGGGTTTAGGGTTTAGGGTTTAGGGTTTAGGGTTTAGGGTTTAGGGTTTAGGGTTTAGGGTTTAGGGTTTAGGGTACCCCGTATTGTAATGCCTATTCAGGACTGTTAGCAGTCCCAAGATTACGGCCTCAGGGCTTAGGGTTTAGGACTTGAGGCCCGGGGCGTGTGAGCTGAAAGGCCTAGAGCCTCTTGGGCTGTGGTTTCAGGTGCTGACGTTTTTGGGGGCGGGTTGAGGTCTAAGGTCAACGGTATAGGGTTTTGAAGTCTTAGCTTGGGGGATGCCCTACCCGAAACAAACCGGGACCCCCCCTAAACCCTAAACCCTAAACCCTTAACTTGGGGAGCCAGTACACCCCAAACCCCTTAAACCCACCAAAGCCCCGCAATTAAAACCCAGCAAAGCCCTCATTCTCGTGAGCCCCGCCGGACACCTGGGCCCCTGCCTGAACCCCGAAATCCCTGCGCCCAAACCCTAAACCCTAAACCCCTAGACCCCAAGCCCCTCTACCCTAAACCCCTAAACCCTAGACCAAAGCCCCTGAACCCTAAACCCCTAAGCCCTAAACCGGTAAACCCCTAAAGCCCTAAACCCAAGGCCGGAGTCCCTCAACCGGCGTCACCCTAAACCCAGTGTCCCGAAACCTAACATGTAGGGTTTAGGGTTTAGGATTTAGGGTTTAGGTTTTTGGGTTAAGGGTTCAGGGTTAAGGGTTCAGGGTTAAGGGTTAAGGGTTAAGGGTTTAGGGTTTAGGGTTTAGGGTTTAGGGTTTAGGGTTTAGGGTTTAGGGTTTAGGGTTTAGGGTTTAGGGTTTAGGGTTTAGGGTTTGGGGTTGAGGGCGCCTTCCTTTCCGTAGCTTCGAAAGCGCTGCAGGACCGGCCTGGTCCGACCGCATCAGCATGGAGGCGCGTGGAGGGTGTAGGGGGCTCTGAACCCGAAACCCGAAACCCTAAACCCCAAAACCTTAAACCCTAAACCCTAAACCCTAAACCCTAAACCCTAAACCCTAAACCCTAAACCCTAACCCTAAACCCTAAACCCCTAAACCCTAAACCCCAAGCCCTGAACCCCAAACCCTAAACCCTGAGGATCCCTGGCGCAAAGCCTAGGAGGGCTGCAGGATGTTGGGATGGATCTCTTTGGAGGGGTGAGGGCTGAGTGCTTCGGACTTAGGGTTTAGGGCTGAGGGTTTAGGGGCAATAGATGGAAAATATATGCAGCATATATATATATATAGATATATATATGTATATATATATATATATATATATATTTATATAGATGTATTAGACTAAGAAACTAACAAAAACCTAGTATCTAGACTTGTAAGTCCTGCAAAACCTCAGAGAGAACCCAGGGCCCTGAAAGCGCCACCACCGCACTCCCTTGTGAGTCTTGAGCTCGGGGGTTTAGGGTTTACGTAGGGTTAAGGGCTTAGGTGTTACAGTCCAGGGTTTAGAGTGCCCACACCTACAATAAGCCTTAAACTTTTGAGACCCCAAAAGCCCCCCTAAGCCACTGAACGACACCCCCCCCCCCCCCCCCCTCGTCCCGACACCGTCGGTACATGACCCCCCCACAACCACGAACCGGGGCCCCACTGACGTTGCCCTCAACCCCCCTAAACCCGAAACGCTTGAACCCTTCCAACCCTCAAGCCCTGAACCCTCAGACCCCAAGACCCCCGAAGCTAAAACCCCGACCTTCCAAGCCCTTAACCCTCAAACCCTCAAACCCTCAAATCCTCCAAACCCTCAACCCTAGAAACTCTAAAACCCCCACACCATTCAAAAAGAAAAAAGCGCCGAAACCCCAAGCCCATCGAAGACTTCGACCGCGCCTCGGCACGTAAAACTTCGGAAGCACCCCTGACTTGGCAGAAGAGCTGCTCTCGGGGCTTCCTGGAGAAATGTTTGATTGTTTTGGGTTTCATAGGGGGTTCATAGGGTTTCATAGGGTTTATCGGGTTTGGGTGTGTAGGGTTTATAGGGTTTATAGGGTTTATAGGGTTTTAGGTTTGGTTTGGGTTTAGGGGCTTAGGGTTTAGGCTGGAGAGGACAGCTTTGGATATTGGGAGCGACTGGATGTAGGTCCTAAACGCCGAGACGCAAACCTCAACAGCCCTGAACCCGGAGCCCCCAGCTCTGTCTTCCCGAGCAACATCCATGGATGTGGCATCGAGCGGTTGCTGCGCCGATGGCAATGCACACTAAAACACAGTCCCGAGCAACACCCACCGCCCTCTCAACGCACCTCGCGAAACTGATAAGCGCAACAAACATAATCAAACTCACCCTCCTTTCATTCCCTACACCCGAAGAAAACCCTATGGGCAGGCCGACAGTAAGGGTTTAGGATTTCGGGTTTAAAGTTGGGTTCCATCCTTCATGACCCCCATGAGCCCCGAAATTCTGAACGCCCTCACGGTGGCAATGGGAGATGTAGATGCGAGCCAAGCCTAAAACCTCCCCTACTTTCCGTGATTGCCATGCCCACGGCCGAGTTGCCACGGGCATATGTGGGGTCAGCCACATGGGACCTCCCCCAGCGGACGCATTAGCTCATAGCTCCGCCGTCATCCGCTTAAGCCCTGAAGCGGGTGGCTCAAAGGTGGTCACGGGCATCAGCGGAGCCCCACACCAGGCCAATGGTGCGAAAGGAAGCACTCAAGAAACGGGCTGCAACTTTCCTTGGGTAAGGCTGGCGGGTGGGGCATCGAGTGCATGCTGTGCCGATGGCAATGCAAGCTAAACAGTTTCCCGAGCAGCATCCGCTGCCGTCGCAACGCACCTCACGAAACTGTCGGCCTCCCCTACTTTCCGTGATTGCCATGCCCACGGCCGAGTTGCCACGGGCATATGTGGGGTCAGCCACATGGGACCTCCCCCAGCGGACGCATTAGCTCATAGCTCCGCCGTCATCCGCTTAAGCCCTGAAGCGGGTGGCTCAAAGGTGGTCACGGGCATCAGCGGAGCCCCACACCAGGCCAATGGTGCGAAAGGAAGCACTCAAGAAACGGGCTGCAACTTTCCTTGGGTAAAG